AAGGTCCACAATTCAGTCTTCTCTTGCTGGTTCAAGCTCTGATACATATGAAAAACTATTTTTGTTCATCAGGAAGTAGTTTTGTGATTTCAACATAAGAGGAAGGCCATTTGGAATTCTAGATTTTTATAGTATGATGGAGCTCAGAAACCTAAACTTTGTGTAGTCTTTTAGAATTTGTAGGTCTTTCAGACCCATTTTATAAAGAAACTGAGACAGACTGATGACCTAATGGAGCTAGAGAGACTATTGTGCGATTCTAGAGGATCCAATAATAATAGACGGAAGTGCACAGCTCACATTGCCCTGAGCTACCCTCTCAGCACTTTCATCACCTGAAGAACAAATGTTGATGACTGTTAATGGAAGGGAAAGATTGTTCCAAAGAGGAAAATCTTACCAGCCAGTCCACTCAAGTAAATGTTCAAAAACAAAGCGATTGTGACAACTTCCATGTATATAATGAAACAATTCCCCTTTTCCCTTCAAACAAAGATGCAGTCCTTGCTCTGTTACATTTGAATCACCATTATGCTCCATAGTGTGTTTGTATTTATGAACCCAAGAGCTCCACAAAGCTTTCCAGCCCATTATGAGAATCTGTCATGTACCCAGCTTCTCTTGTAGATCTTGATCTTTCTATCTTCCTGAGCACTAGTTTTATGGACCCTTCTCCAAAATGACCCTCTTCACAACCCTACTGAACCCAGCAGTGTATGTACATGCCAGCTCCTCCCGTCTTCTCAACCTTACTCCTGTCTAAGAAGAATGGAATTATTGTGGTATTGTGGTTTTTGTGCCATTTCTAGCACTTGCCTGAAGATTTGATGTTTAATTCTGATATGTACACTTAGGCTATAATTGAGAATTCTACATTAAGTCAAGTCACAGAATGTTAAGAAAGTGAGAATGTAATTTGTCCCGGATCATAAAACTAAATATGGTTTACGTATGCACAATGAGCTCATATCTTTTCATAGCTGACTTACAGCGGAAAGTACAGGGGTTTCTGTATCTCATCAAAACTGAGATTAAGATCAAAGAGCATCATCATTGGTAACTTCAGTGGATCTTAATCCACTGCGCATATTATTTTTAGGTCTGACATCTGAATAATGCTCTTTTTATTCCATTAAAAATACTCTATAACTAAAGTTAGAATCTTTTGAAGTTCCTGCATCACACTGTATGATGAGTCACGTGAGGTAGGCCATCTGGGAGCAGTTGGCCTTTTATGTGTGTGGATAGAATTGGTCTTTAGATAGGATTGTTTGGGGACACAGCTGGACGTCTCTCTAGAAATCCACACTCCACCTACACTCAGTAGGGCCTATACTCTGTCATTAGAGGAAGAAGATATGTCAATCCTCGTGGGCTCTCTATTACAACTCAAACACTGTTGGAAGCCTTAGTCATCAACACCTGGAATTGTGCACTGAATCAAAAAGGATTAGCAAGCATGTCACTTCTAATGTCATAAAAGAATGAATTTCAGGTCAGATAAAGGTTGCTGATAAGGGGAGCAGATGCCTTGGTGGTATGGGGTGCTTCAGCAGAGGAGCAGTCCCATAATTCCACATGATTTGGCTGAGTCTGAGATATAATGGGATTGAAAGGGAAACAACTATCAGGAATGAAGAATCGGTCATGTTTCTCTTCTTTTTCCTTTCTTCTTTCCTACCATGTCCTATTATGTTCTGGCCTTTACACAAATCCATTATACCAAATTCAGCAAATATTGTTGGGCAATAACATGTACATCACCTTAATTTTCTACTATGGATTCAAGCATTTAGAAGTAACAGGAATTTCGAATTTAACTTTCTCCAGTGAGGGTGCACAAAGCAAGCATTGTGCCCTCGACTGTACATTGGTAAGGAATGATCAACAATTAATGGGCAAAGCCAGCAAAAATAATCTTAAAAAATAGTATGATAAACATATGAAGGAAGTATGTATAAAAAAGAAATATGAACAGAAAGGGATGTGATAATTTTGCATAGTGAAAGCCTATCTTGTGTCCTGCATAGCTGGATCTCTATCTGGATATCTGCTAATATTTACTTCCTATTTAAAACATCTGCAGCAATTTAAATTAGGTATCCCAAATGTTCGAATCTGGAATTACTGAACATTGGTGTAGTTCAAGTTTACTACTCCCTTTTTTATGTTAGGTCTGTATTGTTTGAGAAACAGTTATAGGAAATGTTAGGAATTGTGATCTTGCTTGTTATAAAATTAGCTAGGGGGTGGGGAAATGTTTTTTTTCTGCCAAGGCCATTTGGATATTTGTAACATCATTCATGGGCTTTACAAAATTATCAATATGGACAGAAGGCCACAGACAGCCAACAAGAGGCATACATACCTGTCTTCTCATGCACTAAATGATTTCACAGCCTTATGTGGCCCATGGGCCAGACATTTTGCACCCTTCAGCCCTCTAGGTTTTGTTAGGCCTTCGAATCTTTAGACTTTAATTGTCATGCAAAGTTTATTCTACTTCTGCTTCCAGAAAGCTGATTGGAATACATTCTAAACCTGTGAAAATGTAACAATGAAATCCCTCCCTGTATAACTAATATAAGCTAAAAAAAAAAAAAAAAGAGCAAAGAAAACCCTTCTAGGAAAATAAATTACATTCCTGCAATTCAAATCTGCCAACAGCTTGTGTCCTCCTAAAATAACATCTCCAGTTTTCCACCACCAAGGATTTTCTCTGTTCAAAGAATCTCCATAGCCTACCATAGGACAAATCCCACCCAATCCAAGTAGTTGGTAGGGCATCGCAGAGTCTGTAATTATGCTACACTTGGGAACCAGAGACACAAAAATGGCCTCTGTATCCAGGTCTAGGAAGCATGTAGCCTTCTTGTACTAGAATGGAATGTCCTTCATAGATAGCCAGCAAACAGGAACAGCAACCTGGTTTTACTTCAACAATGCACAATGCCAGGTATTTACTAGAGCAAACACCACCCAAAGCCCGGAGGAGTTGCTGAAGCAGCTGATACCCTGTGTTGCTTTTTATAACTCTCCTTCACAGCACCATGCTCTACATATGTCCCATTTCATCAGGTCACATCAACTTAGGTCATGCCCAGCACTGCATCTTACACCAAACAAAATGAATTACCATGCAGAATATTCTGTTTCCTGAAGAAGAAAAAAAAGGGAATGGACATTGGGGAAAGTTTCCTAGGTCTTTGTGATAACAATGACTTTGCTACATGTTTCCAATGAGCAGCCTCTTTGATTCCATAAGACATAGGAGTTGTGAGCCAGCAGGAAATTATGAAATTACCAAATGAAAGAATAAAATAAGCATCTAAGAACCAGATTACATACAGAGCTGCGAAATGAGGTTGTGATGGCAAGGAATTTGCAAACTTGTACAAATTAATTGCAGTACTAGCTGTCCACATTTGGGGGGGGGCAATAAAATTAGACAAATGGGGTATTATATTAAGGCCTTTAAAATACCAATAGTAATTCACTGTCCTAAATCTCCCTCCTATACATTACATTGTCTCAGCCCTTTAGAAGGGGTTACAAAAAGATGAAATCCAAGCATCTTGGCCTCAAAGAGCTAGCATCAGGCATGCGTGCAGTGGCACAAGAGCTTGAACTCAGAGCTGCTCACTCTCATTGGCTTTTTTTGCTCAAATCTAGCACTCTACCACTTGAGATACACCTAGACTTCTGGCTTTTTACTGCTTAATTGGAGATGAGAGTCTCATGAACTTTTCTGCCTGAGCTGGTCTCAAACCAAGATCCTGCAATCTTAGCCTCCTGAGTAGCTAGGACAATAGTCAAGAGCCATCAGTGCCCAGCGCCATCTATTTTTGTAAATGAAATTTGAAAAAAAACATTATCATAGATTGCTTGCACAAAAGCATTTCACTGTGATATTCACATGCATGCCTATGATGTACTTTGATCAGTGTATTGCCTCTTTTCATCTTTCTTGACCCCAATATCCATTTTTCGAAATACAGTTTTAGTGAAACAAGCCATCCTCAATTGTTTGCATATTGTCTCTGACTGCTTGTGAACTCAGTGACATAGGTCAGTAGTTGTAACAGAGGCAATCTAGCCTGCCAAATTGAAATACTTACAATCTGGTCTTTAAAATAAAATGTTTGCTGACCTCTACAGCTTTCATCTTCATAACAATACTCAGAGTCTACAAAATGATTTCCCAACTATAATTAAGGTAACTAAGTGGTAGAAGTCATGTAACATAATATATGCCAAGGTTTGCATTTGATTTTAAATCTAATTCCAAAAATCCATGTATCCATGTTCTTATGCTTTATTCATGGGTGGCAATAACGAAACTATAAGCCAGGAAGAAATAAGAGTCTTTTATACAGAAACTGCTACTCAGATTCATAGGAGGGGGATATGATTTCAAGGCAGAGGTGATAAAGATTATGGAGAAAATCATATTTGAGTCGAAAATTAAACACTAATTTCAGTATTTCTCTGTTCCAAGTTCAAGCCCAAGAAAAGTTAAAGACTGACATAAGCACAACATCAACACTCTTTCAGCTCAAAGCATGCAATCAATGACCATATTGAGTCATTAGACTCAGTGTGTGTGGGTGAGAGAGAGAGACAGACAGAGAAAGACTGAGACAGAGACAGCGACAGAGACAGAGACAGAGAGGCTAAATTACAGAATTATGCCAATGCAAATGTGTACATTATGCCAAATGACAATTGAACTGATAAAACTATTATTTCTTCATTCAAGCAATCAAAAATACATTTGTTTATGTATTTGCACAATACTATCAGCTACTCACGTTTGTGAGTACATCCTAAAGACTACATCCTTTGCATGAAAGAATCACACACTCCATCGACTATAAGAATCAAATGATACATGAGACCACAAAATCAAATAATCATATACATCCTGCCCTGAAAAGTAAGACAGCTCTCAGACATAAGAGAAATGGAGATGAAACAAGGCTCAACCCAGAGAGGCTTACCTGATACTGTAGAGCACTTTGCCATTTTTGGAAATCCGCAGCAATTTGTTATCAGTGGTGACATCATGGAAGTTGGCACCTTTCTCATTAGCAAAAAATAAATCTGGTTTCCAAATGGAATCTAGCATAGATGGGTCCAAGTCCAGGGAATCATCTGGGTACTCACTGTATGCCAATCGTGAATCATTCCACTGTTGTCTCAGAAAAATGTTCACACGGTAGTCCTACAGAAATGCCATGCACAAGAGCTACTTATTGCCCACACTGGCATAAGATGTCCATTAAAATTCCTCTCTTACCCAAGGCTATGCAGACCTTGGTCAAAATAACCATTTTGTTTCATTGGAACTGGGGTCAAAAGAAAGGAAATAATATTGAACCATACCAGAACACCTATGAAGCAGGTTGACTTAGTTTAACTTTTATTCAAGATGAATTTACATTAGAAAAATATAATGAGGACTATAGCAGTCGATCTGTAATGGCAGACTGTCAAATAAACTTTATTCATTTTTCAAATCAGAAATGATATACCCCTGGCATTGTCCTTTTATCTGGGAAATTCCTTTTGTGCTAATGAATCAGCTTAGGGGCACTGCCTACTCTCCTGAGGACTTCTATGCAAAGGTCTTTACAGTCATGAAAAACATTACTTCATTGGATAATCTGGACTCTGATTGAAACTTCATTTGGATTTCCTGAGCAACTAGGACTAGAGTTGTTACAGAGCCAATAGTTTGCACATTCTTGTCACTTGTGGTTATTTAAGGTGATAAATTCATTTGTTCTTACTTTCCTTTACATTTTTACCCTCATTGATTTTTCTACTTGGCATATGGATTTTGGGTCATTGTTTATCTTGCTTTTCATAATGTTTGTTTAGATTTGCCTAAGGACTTCCTAGTTTAGGCACCTAAAATCCCACACCCAGGGAAGTCCCTTAGTCCCAAGCAAATGGTGGTGGTTGATTATTCAATTAGGTACCATGAAGACCACCAAAGAAGCACCAATTTAGATGAAGTCCTTCAAGGTAAAAAAAAAAAGGGTTAAGTTTTAATGGCCAGAGTATGTGGAAACGTTTCAATCAGCTTCCTTCTATTTCCTTAGTAATACTTCCAAATCCAATGTGACCATTTTTCAAATGTAGTCTCTGGATAATCAAACTCAGCATTTTGTAAGGGACAGTTCTTAGGAAGGGTACATAGTGCATAGCCAAAAGCAAAATAATTTCTAAGTACTGAAAATCTGTGATCAAAACCCAGACCATTTGAAAAGATTAAATTATTAAAAGGAAATAATCTTAAGTTCTCCATTATATAATAAAAGGATGCTGATTTGGAATCCTGTCAACATTCATCTGGGATTCTACCAGGCCTGCACAGGAAATTCTCAAAACCAAGTGGTTGCTTTCATGGATCTAAGTAGGCTTGTATCCCAACTTACTGGTTCACTGGCTTCCCCTGTAATTAGACCAAGCAAATGGTAGAACCTCAGAGGTTTAGCCATACATTTCTAGAATTGTCCTCCCAAAATGAGGGCTATAACTGGAAGGAGATTATTACCAGTTCTATGTCACTTTGGGAATTGGAGTTACTGTAAGCTTTATGGCTTTGTGTGAGGAAGAACATACAATTTGTGAAAGTCCAAGAAGGAGCTGTCAAAAATATAAGAATCCAGTTTACATGTAAACATACATTAGACACATCAGCTGTGAAATGTCCTTAAGATTTCATGAGGAGGAAAATGCTGCTTCTCCTGTTTGGACACCTCTTGCTCATTTCTTAACAAAATTATGAAGGAGTCTGTGTGCTTATTTCAAATGGAGATAGGAAAGAAGAGGATCCCACCCTTAACAAATTCTGGAGGACTTTTAAATGTACGAAGTAATGGATACTGGAAACAACAGATGTGAATGGGTTAAATATCTTAAACGGTTGGGGGACTAACAACCCTCCCACCTAGGAAGTAATACTAGCATGAGAAAGACATGAGAAGCCAGTTAGATTATACTAGACAGAAAATCACTAAGGAACATCCTTGTCATTCTCCCTTGAGCATGAGAATGATTTAAAGACACAATTGAAAGACTCTAGAGAATATTAAATAAGTGACATGCAATATGAAAGTAATGACCTTTAAGAAAATTATCTTGGTATAAATTTTCAAATCTAATATACATTTTTAGAAAGTTTTTCCCATGAGTGTTTTCCAGTATTTGCTGTTTTTTTATACTGAATTTTATAGATAAAAAATAATGAAATAGTTTATTTTAAATTAACCTTTAGACATTTAATGGCTCTAGTGAGATATACTCTCATTATTTGTAAGCAAGGATAAATGTAGAACTTAGAGGAGAAAAGATATTTTATGATAAATTCCAGGAATTATTAGAACTAAAACATTTCCCAGAGCTTTTCCTTTTAAGTATTCTTTTGAAGGTATAGTAAACAAATTTTATAATGTTGTATATGCTGATATACAGTATTATAAAATAAACAGCAATTCTTAAAAGTCTAAAAATAGAATAAAATACCTGTAGATGCCAAAGAATTTTATGCAGCTTTGCCTTGCAAATCTTCCAGTTCACTGTCATTTTCAATGTACAGTAAAGATTTGGCATGTATGATTTATCTACATATCACTTCTGTTCATTTACAGATATGTTTGTTCTCTCATAATATTACCAAATCTCAAGAGAACAGTTATATTGTTTTGTAGTCTTTCCTTGTATTCACTTTTGCTTTTAGGTTTAATGAAATATTAAACGGGAAGTAAATATTGAGAAACGTGTTTAAATGCAGACTGAATTTTCTTTTACATTTCTTTCTTTCTCCAGGGACAAGATTCTCCTTCAAATCTATGACATATTTCCTTGTATTAAAATTTATTTTCCTATGATTGACTATCTTGGTATTATATTAGGTAATGAAAGCATTCAACATATACAAAAGCTATGTGTAAGCCACATTATGTTGGTTTATATTCTCAACACAGGTAAATGTGTTTACCAAACTCCATATTATTGTTTTATGTCAAATTTAGGGTTTCCTGAATTATTCTTTTTCTAATGCCTTCTAATGCCCTTCCCATTCCATAAAGATTGTTTAAATAGAATTATTTTGGCACTGTTATATTTAGCTTAGCATTTGTAAATAGAGATTTTCACTCTTTCTCATAAGTATTCCTATTACACCTTACTATTACCAACACACACACACACACACACACACACACACACACACACACACACACACACATACATGTTGTTCAACCTAATTATGTTATAAAGATATCAAAGACAAAGATATGCATGTGTGATTTCCCATTGTGTTTATGTGGTACTTTGGTTTAAAATTATGGAAGGAGGAGACAGTTTTTTTAATAATAAATTCTTAAAATATTGTACTGGCAGTTTAAATACCAAGTTCTCTTTGTATAGCCATTTAACAAAACACAAGATTTTAAAGTCGTTTCTTGATTCTTCCTTAAGATAACAGGAATACAAAATATAGTCATATACTATGTTAGCATCCTCTTGTGACTTGCTTATGTAGCAATAGAATAAAAGGAAACCTTCAGTGTTCTTTTGGTAGTTACATAACACAATAGGTATTCTTGTAAAGAAAGGGCTGTCCTGAGTTCCTGAGGAATGTGATTTCAGAGGCCTAGTAACTCTTCAGCCTGCAGCAGTAACCAGCACAGAATGGGAATTTATCATTAGAGTTAGGGACAGCCAAAATTATAATCTGGAAATGTTCCCTGAGTGAACACATTTACACACTTTTAGCTGTGCCTATCTGTTAAACAAGGAGAGGATAAAGATCTAATGTAGTAGCATGGGTAGAAAGTCAGTATCCATACATTTAAATCATATACTATCTACCCACATCTCTCTGGGAAGTCATTTGGAAGCTGAGAAGAAAGTGTATTATCCTTCTTTTTTTGATGAGCAGCCTTGGGAAGAGTTGCCTACAAATGTATGCAAGCTTGACCTTCACTGACATTGGTAATATTATCAAACCACATCTTTATATCAGAAATGAAGGGATTGAAGATATATCCTCTATCCTCATTTGACATCAGAAAGTAAAGAAAAATAGGAAATAAATAATTTCTAAACCAGGATATAACCTTTCTAACTATATATCCCTCACTGGTCATCCAAATCTTTGGGATGATACAACATTTGTTCCATGAAGTAATGTTAATACAGGTCATTTGTGAATGGCCACCAACAGTTTCCCATGTCTTAATTTAAAACTGTATTTCTGAACTTTGTATATCCATACTTATATATAAAAGTATTCCTCAGATTAACACAAATGTGTTATCCTGTGAGTACACATCTATACTCATGTCTCAAAGAAGTGGAAAATTATATTGGGTTCATAATACAGTCAATCTTTTGTGAGCGTATAGTATCAACAATGAATAAGAGGGATTTCATTAACCATAAGAGAGACCGATTATATAGAACCCATAGAGAATCATGGTAAGTTTTTAAAACAAATAATCATTTCAAAATTATATCCTTCAACACTGTTATTTTGGCCATGGGATAAGGGAGAAAAATCAACACAGTTAGAAACACAACATTCAAAAGTATTCTCAGGAAAAAATTTCCTTCAGAAAATGTAAAGAAAACGATACTATCATCCTCAGGGATGGTGCTAATCAATGTCTTCCATGGCTTCATTCTTGTTATATTTAATTATTTGACCAAATTTTCTCAATCCAGTTTTGAGAAATTTTATCAAAATCATGGATGCTAGAACCTTAGAATGTTGGTAGAGTTTAAGATGTGCTAATGCTTTGTGAGTGTGTCCTCTCATACTTCATTCTTTAAGTCCTAACCTCCAATGCTATGATATTAAGAGATGTAGCTTTTGGAGGTAATTCAATCATAAGGAACCCCAGAAAACTTTCTTTCTATCATGTGAAGATACAAGAAGCCAGTGAACTCTAACCTTAATAGATCTGTCACCAAAACTTGACAATACTGGCACCCTGATCTTGGACTTTCCTTTAATGTACATTTCTTTAGTTAGTAGCCTGACCTGATAAAGACAGGGTGCATCAGGTGGACTCCCAAAGCCAAGATCCTTTTTAAATGGAACAATTGTCACATTCTTGTGAACATCTGAATTATGTCCATTTAAATATTGATTCCTCAATCAGGGTTTGGAAAATTTGGCCACAACCTCTTTTTGCAAATAAAATTTCCCTGGAGCACAGCCACATTCATTTGCTTACTATCATTTCTGGCTGTTTTCATGCCAAAAGGGCAGAAGTGAGCAGTTGTAACAGAGACTATCTGGCTCACAAAAATATAAGTATTTCTGACTGGCCTTTTATGGAGAAAGTATGCCATTGTCCTACCCTAGATGGCATGAGATTTTTCTTTCCATCACATGAGCATGGTAATATTTCAAAGAAATATAGATCCACACTAAAACCATAAGTAGGGAAAAGAAAAGCCAAAAGAAATTTGTCATTACATCAAAAGTCAGGTCAAATAAAAGGAGCACAATACACATCATCTAAACATGCAGTTGAATCTGTGTTACACAGTAGAATATGCAAGGTGAAGATATTACCATTGTTTGCAAATATTTTGGTGGGAAACATGACAAAGGACACTTGCTAAGTGGTCATAAAGCCCTTAAGCATCAATTAACTAAATTCCTACTGTTTTAACTCTTAAGGACAGGAAAACAGGATACCCATTGCTTACCATTTTTATCTCCTTAAATGTTTAGCTTATTCTTGCATTAATGAACACGGAAAGGTGCACATTTACATTTTTGATTGAGAGTAAGATGCAATGAGGAGATTTAATCAAAGCAACTTAGAAGTCTAATTAATGCAATCAGCATTAGGTCGTGCAAATATTGTCATTGAATGCCATCGTGTAAAGCTGGTGACAGTGATTTGGGCTACTGGAAATGTTTCCATCTTATAACAGTAAAACCAAGAGGTGCAGAGACAGAAACTGAATGCCAAGCCCAGAGTTAGGTTATTTTTCCATGTTTAATGTTTCTTAAGAGTCATGTATAACCCTAGCAAAAATACCTTGTTTACATATAATTCTTAATGCCCTACATCCTGTCAAGTCCCAGATGCCTTGTATTTGGACAATGCTCTTTCAGGATAATATTAAAAAGAGTAGTGCACGTGAATTATGTTTCATTTTGCATTGAAAGGTAAAAGATAAATGAATTCTTCCTAGCAGCAAAAGCACTACAATATGGTACATGATCTTAGCAATCTAAAAGAGAAAACGAATAGGCAGGCAAATCATGTCTTCCACTTCTCGCTGGTATTATGCTCATTTATTCAGTTCTAAAGTATTGTTAGTATAACAGCTATTGGTCAGCTATATTTTATTTTTGGTCTCATTCAATAATATGATTGCATACTTTACCTAGCCATACAAATTAGAACCAACCAATTGATTAAGGATTTAAAATAAATTGTAAGTAGGTCAAGAAAATATTTCACCCAAATACAATCATCATACTATAGTCTAGTACTAAATAGACTAAAGATAACGGTCTAACAGGCAATGTCACAAGTAACATGACCATGGAAATTATAAGAACTCTTGGCAGATATTATAATATCTGAAATCTCTTTCAAACGAATGAAAGATGTTTGCATGTACTCTATGATGATCTTTTAATTAATTCTATGTTTATAGTTTGAAGGTGTGCATATGTGGTAATTGGTATGAACTCAGCACAAATGTGTCATGTGTGAATCTCTTTGTGGTGTGTGAATGTGTGTGTGTGTGTGTATCTGTTATAAATTCAACACATTTCAAATATAAGCCAATGGGCTTATCTTCTCTGGTGAGCTGGATAAAAGAAGCTCACTCAATTTTAAGTAATGACCACTTGGCAAATGACTTTAAAAATGAAGAGGTGTACTGTTTTCTAGAGATGAATTTGGATATTGGCACTCAGTAAATGTCGCCCAAATATGCACCAGTGCTCGGATCCCATATCCCATTCCTTCACACAATGGCTTCAATGCTCAGTCCCACTCACCATTGTAGTTTCTGCTATTGACCCAAAGCTGTTGATAAATATGTTGCACGTAACATTTACAGGAGGCCCTGCAAGTTGAACAATAGAAAATTTGACAGGTTGTGTTCATAGCATAATTGAGTCACGTTTTTCTCTTGCCAGTGGCATGGTTGCACTTACCATGGTAGTTTCTGTGACTGATCCAAAACTGTTGATAAAAATATTGCAAGTAACGTTTACTGGAGGACCTGCAGAATGTAATAAGAATATTGCAATAGACATTGAAGCAAAAACCCAGCTCCGTCAACATCTATGCAAATGGCTGGAGATGTAAATAAAATTAAAATGATGGTGAAGTTGCAAAACAAAATTATAAATCTTACCTAGAGTTTCATAATGATAACATTCGGGCTAGTAGTTTGGATAATGAATATTAACTGATGGTAACATACCACAAGGAGTTTTGATTTCTGGAAAATATAAGCTAAGACCTGGTCAGTGAGTTCACTGACATAAAGTAATTTTTACAGTACCATTTGGATGAGTAGTTTCCTTTGACCTTCGGATCATCCATGTTTCAGGCACCAACAGTGGATGTCCCATAGGAATAAAATAACTTGAGTCCTGAGGCCCAGATGGATCAGCATTTTGGCGCTATCGATGGCTGAATATTATGCACTTCCTTTTGTGGGAGGTACTTTAAATCACTGGGTTCTCTTTAATCACTTGACACCTCTGAATTGACTCTTTTTCTTCTTTATACATAGTAAACCCCAATGGGGGGAAAACATTGTAAAAAATGCAAAAATGAAATGAAGTTATTCAAAAACAAAAACAGAAAGCCACTTACTGTATATTGTTGCCTGACTTAATATGGTATAAAACAGAGATTATCACATTTTAGATGTGCTGTGAACAGAGTCTACTTTTCTCTCCTGACATCCAGAGACTAGAGACTCGGATGGCCAGTTTTATTTTCCTTTTGCCTTTTGTCAACAGGTAAATCCAGGCTGCAGATTTTGCTGAAGAATATGTTTGTTGCCTTTATGGAATTTTCCCCTAATGCTTTCAGAGATAAGAAAATGCTACCACGAACCGTCTCTTCATTTGCTACTTTTCCCAGAAGAAATTTGTTTTCTCTTTACTCAACAAAGTCTCAGCAGCCAGTGCAGACAATACCCGAGTTCCCACTACTATTGTAGGAATGATTTTTCCCCCATCAAATTTATCAATGTTTGTTTTGTGTATTATAGAACTCTGCTGTAAGTTATTAAAAAGTGCAATCAGCCTGTGGAATTTTGGACATAGTAAATGCTAAGAGTCAATGTAATGAACTAATTAGTATACAAAATAGGAAGTAAAGACTTTATTTAGTCATTCTGTTTGGTTTCCTCATTGGATAATAATGATTAGACTTGAGATTAGCTTTGCTTCAGAGAAAATGTTGAATAGGATTAGTTATGTGGTTCTAAATGTCATGATTAAAAATATTTGTGGAGAGATTATTATTGAGATATATAGTTGCATATATTAGAAGTATTATATCTTCTTTATTAATTGACAGTTTTATTAATATATATTTTCTATATTTTAATTTAGCATATAATTAATATTGTCTTTAAATGTTTTCTTTACAGTCATAAAGTGACTATATTTAAATACTCTTGTGAATTATTTATTTTTCATATTTATGTATATGTTATATATCTACATAGCTATATTGACCAAAGCTTTCTAAGATAATGAGAAGTATTAGTTTTTGGATTTGGGTTTTTGGTAACTGTAATTTTTTTGTCTTTTTTGAGGTACTGGGGATTGAACCCAGGATGCTGCACTTGCTAGGCAAGCTCTTTGCCACTGAGCTACATCCCAGCCCAATGTATTATTTTTTTTAACCCTCTATGACAAGTCTATTTAGAAATAAGCATTAGAAATGAATAGGTGGTCTTATATGACACCAAAACAAGAAGTACAAGGAGTCATTCTTGGATAGTTTTGTACCAGGTATTTTCCAACATTATTTTTAGGTGAAATACTACTTTAACAAATGGAACAAGCTTTGAGTTCTGAGATGAAAATGTTACTTTTTTTCTCTCTTGTCACAAATAGACAAGAATGGCATTTTCATTTTTCATTTTATTTCTTATAAATAATTTAACATGTCTTCAAGTATCGCAATTGCTTTAGTGAGAAGCCCTTGGATGAATATGGAATATTAAAAATATGTGATTGACTTTTACAGATGTTAAATTTCCTTTAGAATAAGAAGCTTTTGTAGCAGAATGATCCATTTTTATCAGGTCAAGAGATAAAGGAAAAATAAAGCACATAGATGAAGCAAGAAGATGTAAACTTAAAGTTTTAGAGACTTGATATACACAGTATGGGTACACAGTTTCTTTTGATGTTTTCCTGTGTTGCATGTGTGTAGATGCTCATGAGAAGCACAGCATTTTGAAAGATGGGAGGATCATAAAAGAGAAAGAATTGCTCTTTGTGGCACTTGTAAGGGAGGATTTGATACTCTAAAAGAAAGTAGGACTTTTAAAAATATTTCTGTAATGAGATGTACAAGACATTATGTCGAAAAACGACCTTTACAGCTTTGGGAGGGAGACAGGGGCGGGGTGGGAGATGGGAAGGGATGGTAAGGGGAAACAAAGGAGGAAGCAACAATGCTTGATAAGAAATGTATTCATTACCTTGCTCATGTAATTGTAACCCCTCTGTACGGTATTTTCACAAAAAATATTGCTGTAATACTTACGAACAGTCACTTAATCTAACCCATTGTATTATTTTCATCTTCTTGAACATTTACCCCAAATGAATTATATACCATCAGTTCTTTTCTCCAATGCATGGTCAAAATGGCTTTTACCAGTTCCACTGCATTCTGTTTGCTGATATCCTTGCCTATGCAAATGACAGACCATTCAGCAGTGAAAGGAAAAAAAGCTAGATGTTTACTGACTCCAATTAGATAGCTCAGCATTTTCTTTGGCCCAGCCATGTTCATCAAAGGAGGAAGTGGCCATGCAATATGATCACTTAACTCTTAAGGTAGCTTAAGTATCAATATCAAAGGGCAGCTTCTGTTAGTCCTTCCTACTAATAGCTACCTATTGTCAACTGCAACTGTGCAATGTTATAGTGTGTGGATGGATGGTCACATGACTTAGATGTTGTGTTTCCATCTTTGTATGCTATGACCGTCTCCACAGTTTTAAGAGAAGGATCTTGATGGGGAACATCATTTCATATAGGGTTATCATTTTCATTTATTTGCTTTTTGTTTTTGCTTTATGATAATTTTTCTATGAGAATATCCAAACTGGCATGAAAATGTAATTTTCCTCTCTCCACCTCCTAAATGCTGCCATTACACGCCAACCAATGCCTAGCTCTAGAGCAATCTTTATTTTTTATCAGTCATGGGGCTTGAACTCCAGTCCTGAGCTCAAGAGCTCAGGGCTAGTGCTCTACCATTTGAGCCACAGTGTCACTTCCGGTTTTCTGGTAATTTATAGGAGATAAGAATCTCACGGACTTTTCCTGCCTGTGCTGGCTTTGAACCGTGATCCTCAGATCTCAGCCTCCTGAGTAGCCAGAATTAGAGGCATGAGCCACAAGCACCCAGCTAGAACAATCATTTTTAAGAGAGAAAGTAAGTGCTCTCAATAATTCACAGAAACATTAGACATGAACCAAGACTGTCCTGAGGAAATCTGAACTTTGGCTCACAGTTTTTCTCATCAAAGTGTATTTGAAACTGTCAGTCTCTAGCTGGAGCTCATCATGTTTAAAGAGATAAATCAAGTTCAGAAGGACACATATTTCACTTTTCACTCATATGTGGAATCTAGGCCTTAAAATATAATATGACATGATTGAACCAGAAAGACTGTTAGAGCCGGTAGCAGTGGCTGGAGAAAAAGAAGATCATGATAGAGGAGGGTTAAATATTATATAAGCAATTTTTTTTTTTTTTTTGTCGGTCGTGGAGCTTGAACTCTGGGCCTGGGCGCTGTCCCTCTGCTCTTCAGCTCAAGGCGAGCGCTCTACCACTTGAGCTACAGCGCCACTTCCGGTTTTCTGGTGGTTTATTGGAGATAGGAGTCTCACGGTCTCTCCTGCCCGGGCTGGCTTTGAACCGCGATCCTCAGATCTCAGCCTCCTGAGTAGCTAGGATTACAGGCGTGAGCCACCAGCGCCCGGCATATAAGCAAATTTTTATGTATATATGAAATAGAAAAATGTAACATACCAAGAACTAAGTACAGAGGAGTGGGGGGAGATCAAGAAAGTAATACAGATGGGGTGAATTTAATCCAAGTATATCATATGCATGTTGTCAATATTACAATAAAAACCCCTTATACAACTGTTCTATGCTAATAAAATTATTTGAAAAAAATGTGAAAAAGACAAATTGTTTTGGAAGAATATTAGCTACTAGTTTGTCTTTAATGCTTGATTGCCTCTTGTTGATGTAAGACAAATTTACAGAAACTCTGAAGCTGTTCATTCTTTTTTTACAATAGAATTAGTGACTGTTATTGTGAGAATTAGTAGTAATCTATGAACAGCATACAATATTTGTTCAATAAGTTGTAGTTACTCTTATTATTAAAATAGTGGCCACCTTACTATCACTGCTACAAGTTCCTTGGATTATCCAAGTGTCTATGTGGGAAGTATAACACCTAATTCATTTTAATATAATATAAGCTAAAATCTTGAGACTATGATTTACCTTTGACACCCTCTTAGGCCAGTCTTTATTGAAATGTGTTCTGATCTTAACCATTGTCCTCTCTCTTATCTCTATTGAGTTTTTTTTAATAAAACATTTTTTCTGACATAATGCATAAATGTGTGCTTAATGTCTGGCAAACTATGTGGCCATTGTGGGTATGTGATTATGGCTGCTAGCTTCTTTGTTTAAAATAGAACTTCTCAACTTTGGGACTAATATTACATAGGGAAGAAGATTCTCTGCTGTGGGAAGGTTTTCTATGTATTGTAGGTTGTTTATTATTGAGGGGGAATTGCCTCCAGTTGAGAGCCACTTAATTCTAAAAAAAAAAAAAAAAAAAAAAAGGAAAAATGGCAGAATGGATGAAAAATGTATTCAACAAGAATCACATTTCATGTGATAATGAACTACAGATTATTCTTCTAGTTGACAAACATGTTAATATGGTATTAAATATTTCCTAGTTATATGACATTAAGAGAAAATCAC